GGGATTTCACCATGTTGTCCAGGCTGGTCTTGAACTCCTGACCTTCAGTGATCTGCCTGTCTCAGCTTCCTAAAACTTTTCGAAAATAAAATTTTATTGTAAAAAGGGATCATAGAGGAATACTATGAGTAATTGCATGCCAACAAATCAGATAACCTTGATGAAATGGACTGATTCCTAGAAAAATACACAAACTACCAAAACTGACTCAAAAAGAAGCAGAAAATCTGAATAAATTTGTAACAAGATATTAAATCATCTCGTTTGACTGAATTATCTGAATCTGTACTAAGAAAGTCCAGACCCAGATGGTTTCACTGGCGAATTACACAAAGTGTTCACAAAATCAAAATCAAACCTTCACAAATTCTTCCAAAAAATAAGAGGGAACACTTGCCAATTTATGCTATGAGGTCAGCTTTCATCTGATATCAAAACCAGAAAAAGACATCACAGGAAAAGAAAACTACAGTCCAATATCTGTTATGAATAGAGATAGAAAAATCCTCAAGAGAATACTAGCAAACCATATCTAGCAACATATAAAAAGGACCACACACCATGACCTGTGAGATTTATCACATGAATGCAAGGTTGGTTTAACATTCCAAAATCAGTCAATGTAATAAACAATATTAAAAGGCCAAAAGCCATATGATCATGTCAATAGATACAAAAAGAGCATTTGACAAAATCTAACACCCTTTTATGATTAAAAACACTCAACAAACTAGGAATAGAAAGAGACTTCTTCATCCTACACAGAGAATATCCATGAAAACTCACAGCCAACATCATACTTAATGGTTAAAAGACAATGATTTCCCCTGAGATCAACAACAAAACAAGAATGTCTACTTTTACATCATCTATTTAACATTGTACTATAGTTTCGACCCAGGACAGCCAAGAAAATAAAAGACATTAGATTGGAATGAAAGAAGTTAAAATATCTCCATTCACAGATGATATGCATTTGTATATAGAAAATCCTAAGGAATCCATAAAAAAAACCTTATTAGAGTTAATAAATGAGTTCAGCATGGTTTTAGTATACAATACCCACACACAAAAATAAACTGTATTTCTAAACAGTAGTGATGAACAATCTAAAAATTAAGAAAATTCCATTAACAATAGCATTACAAAGGATAAAATAGGAATAAACAAAATAAGTGAAAGATTTATACATTGAAAACTATAGAATATTGTTGAAAAAATAAAGAAGATCTAAATTAATGGAAAAGACATTTCATGCTCATGGATTAGAAGACTTAATTTTTTCTTTTTTCTTTTTTTTTAAATGAAGTCTTGCTCTGTCACCCAGGCTAGAATACCGTGGTGCAATCACAGCTCACTGCAGCCTCAACCTCCTGGGCTTAAGTGATCTTCCTGCATCAGCCTGCCGAGTCGCTGGAACTACAGGCATGCACCACCACACCTGGCTAATTCTTTTTTTTTTTTTTTTTTAAATTTTGTAGAGATGGGGTAATTCCTCTGTTACCCAGGCTGGTCTCGAACTCCTAGGCTTAAGTGATCCTCCTTTCTTGGCCTCCCAAAGAGTCGGGACTATAGGCATGAGCCATGGCACCCAGCTGGAAGACTTAATATTGTTAAGACGGCAATACTCCCCAAATCGATCTACAGATTCAGTACAACCCCATCAGAATCTTAGCTGCATTTTCTGTAGTAATCAGCAAGCTGATCCTAAATTCAAAGGTCTCACTATATCCAGAAGAATCTTGAAAATGAAAAACAGAATTGAAGAACTCACACTTCCCAATTTCAAAAGTTACACATAGAACTAACATA